CAGGGGCTCCTCGTTCTCCTTACAGTCCTGGCCGTGGAGGTGGGAGAGAGGTCCATGCTCCACCAGGTTAGGATGATGACAGCCTCCCCCACACCTTGCTCCTTGCCATCTTGCACCTCCTGCAGCCCTCTTCTAACCCCAACTCTAGCCCCCACAACTACAAACCTAAAAATAGTTAAAAACAGAAAAGAAGTCTTAAAAAGAAAAGTGGATAAGAATTGTCAATTAGGGAAACAAAAATCAAAATCTGCCAAGCCTATTTGTACAAAGTGGGTCTGAGAATCTCCTCTCCCCCCCCCCCCCCCCCATGTGTTCAGATTAAAAATACTTTTTAGCCTTAACAATGCTGTAAAAAGAATGGTTCAAGACCTGAGGTCTTCACTCAGTTCTTACCCAAGTAAAACTCTGTGTGTTCAGTGGGATATTTGCCTGCACAAGATTTAAATATCTATCCCATTCATTAGTACAGGTTGTACCTCCCTTAACCAGGATTCCCTGGTCCGGCAACATCCGTGGTCCAGTACCCCACAGAGCCCAGGAACAGGGAGGTCTGGCGGCTGGGCAGGAGAGCTGTAGGGGGTATTGGCAACTCAGCCGGGAACCCCGTGATGGGGGAGGAAAGAAAGGGGAATGGGTGGCATGGCCCCAACCTCAGCCATGGAGCTCCGGCCCCAGCAACAGCCAAGGAGATCTGGCCCTACCTGTGGGGGCTCTAGCTCTGGTTGCAGTGCTCTGGCTGTGGCTCTCCAGCCCCAGCAGCAGGGCCAGCAGCATCTAGAGAGCCCTGGGGCGCTGGGACAGCAGCGGGGGCAGGCTGATGCCCCAACTTGGTAGCAGCATGGGCCAGGAGGCCATCCCCTGGTCTAACAAATCCCCTTGTTCAAGACCAGACAGGTCATGAGGGTGCCAGACTAGCGAGATCCAACCTGTAGCAAAAACTCTTAGAGACTCCTTGATCCAAATTCCGTACTGATTCAGTAGTGTTGCACAAGAAAATTGGCACTAACTGAGATCCTGGACTGCACATGCTGTATACCTCTTCATTATTCCTCCACAGGGGAGCAGAGGATATGAATTTTGCCCCCACACTGGCTGTTGTATGTCCCATTGAGAATACCCATAACCCTCAAAGGTGGTGCTAAATTGTAAAGTCTTTGATCGGTGATGCATGAGGCACAGTTAGACAGCGAGGCCTGGAATTGCGTTAATGAAAAGCTCTGGTGAAAGACAAAAACTGTCTGGCAGTGTATCATGAAATGGCATTATTTCCTGCTAGTTGCCCTCAGGAAATTAAAACTCTCCAGCTTTGGTGCGCATTGAGCTTGCCTGGCAACCACCCTGTGTTCTATATCCACACATCCTAGGATTTATCTTCCCACAAATACAAGGTAGGCTCTCCAGTCATTTGAAGTTACCCATATATATTTTCCCCCACTCTTCCCAATTGCTTCATAGATCTCTCTTCCACCATGCACTTAGAATATTTAACCAAGATGTCCCTGCCTGAGTCAGGGGAGATCAGAACAGATCACTGAAAACTGGTAATAGGCATATTTAAGTGGAAATCATTCTTCAGATGTTTGGGATGTTTTTGATGCTTGTATCTATTAAGTTATTTTCTGGGAACCTTTTCATCTGTTTCCCTCCCTCCCCCCTCCCCACATGTGAAAGTTAAAGATACCTCCTCCCCCATCCAGACAAGTTTAAGTTGTATTAAAACATTAGAATATTTTTCAGTATTCAGTACTCGTCGTCTCTGATGATTATGGAAATCAATTAGAGACAATGCCTTTATTGTAACATAGAGGTGATTGTAGGCAGGGCCGTAATATTGCTAACCCTTCTCATGTGGCTTACTGTAGTAGGTTAGCACTTGCTGTCTACTGAAAGGGCACTCTTGTTTTTTCAAGGCTGCATGAAGATGGTAGATTCATTAGTTATGATCTTGCAATGAACCTGGACAATAAGTGACATTATAGCCATTTATCCCTGTTTTTGCTGAAGGATAGGCTTGTTCTCCTTTTTTCTTTCCACTCCTCAACTCAAAACCAAATCACACCATGTCTACCAAAAAAATTGCAAGGTTTTATTTGAAAATATTGTGGACTATGCCAAGAGGCTGAAATGTATAGGTGGATGACGAATTTGACTTTGACCCTGTAATGAATGGTGTGACCAATTAAGTTTATTATGCTTTCTTCACCTGGAAGCCCCTTCAGAACTACTGGTAGCTTAGTTTAGTAGAAAAATGTTAGAAGTTCTACCAGACTATTGGAACATGAAGCCTAAATCTGGCTGGGCACCTGGATTTGCCTACTATTAACTCAGCACAAAACATTCCATGCTACACACTCCAGTCAGTCTTGGGCCTAAATTCAGATCCAAGCATTTTCTACAGAAGTCTGGTGCAACTTTCTTCACTCTGTTGCTATCTGTGACACTTTGAAACTTCTGTTTGCCATGATATTTAGTATTTGCGTTCAGTGGGAAAAGTCCTGTGTTCTTCTTTTTCCAACATGTCTATTACTCCCATTACAAATGGAATGAAGGCATATATGCTTGGACCCAGATCTTAGACTGGGATTCACAAGGTTTCACCATGAAGAATCCTGGTTCTTTGAAGCTGGAAACTTTGTGAACATCAGGGCCTGGAAACCAGTGCAACATAAAATTCACAAGCCTTTTTCTAACTAAACTTGGAGGATTTCATATAGTTCTGCTAAAATGTACTGCTAAATGTAATTAGCCCTTTCTGTGGGGGTATTGAAAGAAAAGGTCAGATCTGAAGACAAAACTATGTGGAAATGAATAACTAACTAAATCCTGTTTCTATCCTTTAAAAAAACAACATATCCAAAGTGGCAACTTTTTTTTTTTAAAGGTGAATGTTTTGAGTTGGTCAGCTGAGCCATGGGGCGATGATGTTTATAAATTATAGAATCTTGCCAGTAAGCATAGGTGTCTCCTTGTAGCACTTGTAACTTCAGTATAGCCATCTTAAGCCTCCTCATGACGGAAGTATTCTCTGTGATGTAGAAATATTAATTGCTTATCCTTGAAACACCCACCAAGTCCCATTTGCCCAAGGATTATTTGGAATATAGAGTTTCGGGAGATTTGAAGCCTGGGAGTTACACACATTGAAGAGAGCAAGTTAAGTGGTGAAGTCAGACATAAGAGAAGCACTCTGTGACTCTGCTGTTCTGAAGTCTGCTCTTCAGTACAGCCTCATCTTCCCATGTGTAAGGGGACTGTTACCCCTTACTAAAACTCTGTGGGAGTTTTTTGGTTTACCAGCTTCAGAAGGGGAAGGGTTCATGAGACTGACAGACCCCAGAGACAATGGAAAGCAGTCAACACTCCAGCTCAGCCTGACTGACAGGTTGTAAGTGGGGATTGTTCTGGCTCTCTCTGAGCAAACAGGGAGCTGAAAGAGCAGAGCGAGCTGTGTGCAGGAGAGGTCCTGCAAAGACAGAGATCTGAAAGAGGAGTACAAGAAGAAGTCCTGCAGCGACAGAACCAGACACAGACAGGCCAAGCAGTGCAGACCCTGTGTTGAGCAGCAGACTGGCAGTGCTCAGAAAGCCAAAAGGAACAGAGAAACAACACAAGGAGCTGGAACTGGCCAAGCAGCACAGCCTGCAGCTGGATGTGGTGAGCTACTGGGACCTGCAAAGTGTGGGGAAAGGCTCTGGACTGGGAGAGGGGTCTGGCCACTTTGAGCTTGAGACTGTGTGGTCACTACCAGAGCTAGCGTGTCCAGCCTGTAGCCCCCCCTGCAGCATGTCCAGGGCCTCTAAGAAAGAGACTGTGGACTGTCCTTATACTCTGCAGGCTGCTGTTTTGATGTCCCTGTGCTACAGAGCAGGGCTGTGTGTTCTCATTTAACCATTCTCATTTTTTTCTTATTCTTTTCTCTTTAATCCGTTGTTGTTTAATAAATTGTATTTGCTTTGAACCTTATGAAGTGATCACTGGGCCAAGAAGGCCTGCAGTGTAAAGAGAGCACCTCGGAGTGGGGACACCCTAACTCCTGCCCCTAGTGACTACAAGGTCAGGGATTAAGCCCCAGGAAACCTGGGCCCAGCCTTGTTGGGGTTTCAAGGGCTCTGCTACTCAGGAGTGTGGAGGGGGAGCCCTCAGGATCAGGGAGCCGTGGGGTAAAGGAAGTGGGAGCGGGGACTCAGATCCTTTCGCTGGTTCATTTCACCGGGGTGTATAGAAGCCAGGAAAGTTCCCCAAAATAGCGGGACCATTCCCCCGCTTACACATGCTTCCTCAAAAGTTTGTATTGGAGAGAACAGCAATTGTTACCTGTTACGTTGATTATAAAGTAATATGTTGTAAGGTTTCATTCTGCAGTGTCTAGCCTTTGGAATGTTGCAAGGCTGCCAGTAATCTTACACAAGGAAACGGAGAAGAATAGCAGATGGCGAAGGAAGTGTAGTGCAAGCAATAAATGAGTTGTCCTTCTATGGACAAAGTAAAGGAACTAAAATAAAGCTGAGAATGGAATATCTGAGTGGGTGACTGAGATTTTGAGTATGAGGTAGCAGTGATGGGTCAATGTAGGAATTGCAGTGAGGGTAGGCAGTAGAAAATCAGGCTCCACAAGCATGTGGTAGTCAATGGTAATGTTTTGTAAACTAAACCCGCAATCTGGGAAGCTAGTGAAGATAGTATAGTCCCATTTCACAAAGTAGTGATTTCAGAGGCGAGTGGTTCATAAACCTTGTCTACTTCATTTTAAAAACAATAGTTTTTAACTCCACTGATTATTATTGCATATTTGCCATCCTTACTAACAAAACTCCCTAATGGCTGAGCTGTGAGGAACTGGTCTAGATAACCAGAAATATAGTAGGTACTAACCATTATTTTCCTCATGTAACTATAGGTAGTAGGTTTGTTTCCCAGTTCCTTAGTGCTAGGGCCATCTCTGTAGTTACAAGTTGACAGGGCTTGGCTGTACTGATGCAGCTTTTCTATTGCAAGAGCACTTGGGAGAGAGCTCTCCCATCACCATAACAAAATCAGCTTCCCATGCAGGGATAACTATGTCAGTGAGAAAGCATCTGTGCACATGAGCACTTATGTTGGCCACAAGGGTGTGATCTTTTTCACACCCTGAGTGGCAAAAGTTTTGCTGACATTAGGGCGACTGTAGGCATGGCTCTCGGTTTCCCTCATGTTGATTTTAACCAGCAATTCAAAGGCACCTCTATAACACTTTTCATTGGATGCAGCAAGATTCCACCAGTGTGCTGCAGCATTTGGTTACCAAAGGGAGGGAGTGCAAAGGGTTCTCTCCATACATGTTCTCAGGTGCCATTCTCCAAGAATGCCAGACCACACTGAGGAAGAGATCAAAGTATTTTACTTGGCAACTCTAAAACCAGCCTGAGTTCCCTGGCTGACTCTTAGCTATCCCCTCACTGTCTCCAGTTACTATTTGGTTTCCCCCCCTCCACCCTTCAATGCACACAAAAAAAATAGAAGTACTTAGCTGAAGAGTGATGAAGTCTGACTTCGTACAGTGTATAATCTGCCATGAAAAGTTTTATAGAGGTGAGGGAGAGTTCATAAGACAGAGAAATACAGGAATGCTGTCCCAGATGGCAGAGTCGCAGAGTGGAAGATGGGCTCCTCCAGCCGTAGCCAGCTTGTTAGGGACAGAGTGGAGTTTGACACTTGCTGCGATGTTGGAGTAGAGAACAAACCACAGTGGCATTACTCTGGATGTCTGCCAATTTAACTGAACCAAAGTTTAGTCCATACAGGAAGAGGGGTGTAGTCTGGAGTAAATCCCTGAAAGACTTTAAAAACTAGGGCAATTTTGAGCTGGATTCTGAAATGGGGAGTTTGAGTATGAGATGAAGTGACTGTACTTTTTTTATACATATAAGAAACCAATAGCAGCATGTGCTTGAGTTTGCAGAGCTGGAGCTTGGGGAGGCCCAGAGAAAGGAATTACAGCAGTTGAGATGAGAGAAGAGGTCTGCTGTGGAACACTGGCAGCAAAATGCCACAGTTGTTTAGAGACAAAGATTCTCCTCTCTCCTTAATGCGTCAGAGTAACTCCACCCTGCTGGGTGTGTGCAACAAGCAGAGAGTAGGCTCTGCTCCCACAAGTCTCAAAATCCTGTAGCACTGAACGGTATAAGATGTCATAGGTAGAATTTCAATATTCATAGATTCTAAGGCCTGATGGGAGCATTGTGACTAATCTGAGCTGTGTAGCAGGGACCATAGAACTTCCCCAACTGATTTCCTAGAGCAAAGCTTAAAAAACGCCCCCACCCAATCTTGATTTAAAAATGGTCAATGATAGAGAATCCACCATGACCCTGGGTAAAATGTTCCAGTGGTTAAGGACTCTCACAATTAATATTTTTTTCATTTTATTTGCATTCTGAATTTGTGGAGCTCCAACTTCCAGCATCTGGGTTGTGTTTAACAGAGACCGGTATGATTGAAGAGCCCGGTATCACATTTTGTTCCTCATGTTGGTACTTGCAAACTGTAATGAAGTCTCCTTTTAACTGTCTCTTTGTTAAACTAAACAGATTGAACACCTCAAGTCTGTCATTGTGAGCCAGGTTTTCTAATTCTTTAAGCATTCCAGTAGCTCTTCTTTAAACATTTTCCAATTTATCAGCATCATTCTCAAACTGAGGACACCAGAACTGGACACGTTGTTTCAGCAGCTGTTATCCCAGAGATAAAATAACATGTCTCCTCCTCCATTGAGTTTCCAGTATTTGTATATCCCCGGGCATGTCTACACTACCTGCCAGATCAACAGGCAGCATTTGATTCAGCACGGGTCTAAAATGGACACTGAACACGCTCCCATCAACTCTGATACTCTACTAGACCGAAAAGCATAGGTGCAGTTGACTGGAGAGTGTCCACCATCGATTCAACGCAGTAAGTAGATATAATATGCCGACATCAACTACGCTATTCACAGCGCTGAAGTTGTGTAACTTAGATCCATGGCCCGCTGTAGTGTAATTTAGGCCCCATGTTTGCATTAGGTCTTTTGGCCACACAGTCACAGGTGGTGCTCATGTGCAGGTAGTGAGCCGTTACTTCCTGTGGGGATCTGACTGTGACGCTGCCTGACTTTTGAGTACCATGCAGATCCTTTGCTCCCAAAAAGCTCTTCCAAAACAGTTCTTTTCCTCATAAGAGCTATGTTTTTTAGGGTGCTTTTTGGCTGCTGACACAATGATCGTCTGGCAAATGTAGGGTATATTTTGCTCACTTTTCCTTTTGCAACCTTTTGCAGCTGTAATGATTTACTATGAAGTTTTGAGGCTAATTGCCTCATATGTTTAATTAATAACTGACACATTCTGTCCTTCAAAGAGACTGGAGAACTTCCATCTGGACCCCTAGTGATTACAGTCTGGAAGCCATCCCTGTAATTAAGGAGCAGGCTGTAGGAGGCTTGTTCCCATTATGAGTAATTATTGCACTTACTACTTCCCCCCCATCCTTTCCCTGTTTCAGGACTGGAAAACCAGGGCTTGCCTGAAAGATAAGTCTAAGATTAAACCCCAGCTAAGAAGGTGCTTTGCACTCACCCATGCTAGGTGAACTGGGGTATGTTTTGCTGCCAGCCCTCTTAGTTTTATGAATAATTTGAAAGGCCAGTGGCTGTTGAAAAGAAAATGCCCCTGGAGAGACCAAATTGAAGTGCAGATTGGTCAATACCCATCAATAACAGCAGCAGTGGATTTTTGAGGC